TCAGAGAGGGCTTGAGGGGGGCTGGCTGTCCCCCCCCACACCCTAGCCCACCCTCACAGGGTCCCCTGGGGGCGATGAGGACACCCGTTAAGGGTGAGACTGAGGTGATCAATGTGCTGTCTCTTCAGTAAACTGACGCTGAATGCACGAGGAGGAGAAATTACCTCAGTGGATGTTTGAGGGGTTCCCCCCTATTTCTTTTCAAGGGTGTACGTGTGGGTGTAGAGGGGGATTTTCCCCCCACCGGAGGCGATGCTTGGTACGTTTCTCCTCTTGGGCCGTTTCGCCTCCTCCCTTCGCTCTCCGCCCTTCCTCTCCTCGGCTGAGAGGCAGGATGGAGGAGCTGTTGCAGGATACTCCTTCCTCTGCCCGTCGCTGGTCTGGCCGATGAGGTATCTCAATTTGTTGGGTTTTTTTCTTTGTCGTCTCTAACCTAGAGGTGTTTGCCTTGTTGGAGGCTGTCTTTAAAAGAGTTCTGAGGCTTTTCTTGCTGCTGCTGCTCACTGATGTGGTTTTAGCCAGGCATGTTCCTGTTCTGATGTATGTATACGTGAGTGTTTGTATGTATATACACACCCTCACCATCTCTCATCTTGTGCTTTTAACACGGGAAACCAACTTTCCAAGAAGGACTGTCAAGTGTGCATACGCTAAGAGCAAGTGGTTTTTGTGCTCTGATGTTTCGATTATTGCCACTTCTGAGAGCCATAAGCAAGATATGAAAAATACTGAACAGAAATTATATGGATAAAAATATTAAGGATTTTTAAGAAATACTTTCACAAGGTACAGTAAGCAGTAGGGCTGGGTTTTCCTTCTGTTTCTCAAATATATTCATAGGAGTAGGCTGAAAATGTATGCTTTCCCTGTAAGCGCCTTGATCATAAGCAAAAACACATTTGTAGAGTATGTTTACATATTAGTGTATTGAATAGAGAGATGAGACTTGGGAAATAATGAGAGTTTGTGCAGGATGTAGAAGTTTTCTTAACGCATTATATAGAGCAAATTTATGTTTATTTTGATTGTCCAGTTATATAAGTGAAGTAAAAATAGTTTTAAAAGGTGTCAGCATGCCGTTTGTTTGTAGCTTTGATTACTTCCTGTGCGGTCACTTAGATTTTCTAGTGTTTTGTGTTGAGTTGTAGCTTAGAAGTTTAGAAATACACTCCAAACATCACTTTTGAAAGTTACTGTGTTTGTTAGTAAGTGTGCTGATACACTGTCAGTTAAGTAATTCAAAATGGAGCCCCCTTGAAAAATTGTCTGATTTCATACTCTGTCCTGTAAGGTCCTATTTATGCAAAAATCTGTCACTAATACAAAAAAACCCCAGCCAAAAAAACCCCAAAAACACCCAAACAAACCTTGAGACAACTGTCATTTGACTTGAACACATCTATAAATAGAAAATGCTTCTTGTTGGGGTATAAAATTTGTTTTGTTCGAAGGGTTTTCTACAAATGCAGTTGGACAATGAATGTGTAGCGGGCTAATCCATAAGCAAATGCAGCATACGCATTTAGCAAATGCAGCATACACATTTGTGAAGGATTTGGGCTTTTTGTTTATAATACTATTCATTTACTGTACTCTTAAACAATTTGTGGGAATTCTTGTTTCCACCGAGGTTCCCATCTATTGTGATGAATATTTGCATTGTAGTTGTTCAAGAAGCATTAAATGCTAATAAGCAGCAGTGCATACCATACACTTTTGTGCATTTATCACCACAATGCACCTTAGAAAAAAGCTAGAACTGTTCCTAAGTTGTAAGAAGCAAAGCTTATTGGGGGGACACAGTTTAAATTATCTGTTTTGAAGGATGCTATGAATAACTTCATCTTGTGCCTTTTTTAGTGCGGACTATTCTATGACCTTTTTTTGTTTGTTTTGAATAGGGCAGTGGAGAAAAATCCGTGCAAGTGTTTCTGACCCTCTAGTTTTCAGTTGAGTGCTCAGCTACAAATTTAATGTACTTCTTTCCCCACGTCAATTTCTTTCTTGTGTAACTTCCAATTCTTTTGTATGGGAGTAGCCACAAAGAATATGATACAGTGTAACACCTAACACGCCTACATGCATATACAAACACTTTGAATAACCCCCTAGACTGTAGACTCGATTGCCTTCCTGCATGCTGTGCCACAAAGACTCAAAGCTTATCAGGTGGGGTGTGTCTGTGTGTAGATTCATAAAAATCACTGGAATTACTCCCAAACTATAAAACCGAAGACAAAACAATATATATGCAAACCTTACTCTTTTTTATGTGCCAGAATAGGCACCTCTCTAGTGTGGATCACGTTATACTGGTATAGCTTATTCCCGTTCTTTTAGTAGTAAAAGTAGCTGCATGTCACTGTAAACGCATTGATGTTAAATAGGTGGGAATTAATTGTATCCCTCATTAATGTTAGTACACTGCTGGAAAACCAGCATCTAGCGTAGCCTTAGGCCTTAACAGAATCACTGGCCTTGCCTGGAAGCTGTTTTTAGTGCAGATGAACCAGCAAAGCAGGTCAGTAGAAACAGGGTGTTACAGATTAGATGCTTGATCAAGTTTAGTTGGGTGCTCTCTGCAGATTTTGAGGTTGATGATGGGTGAGGGGAGAATCCCTTTAAGTAGATGTCAGCCATAGCACATTTTCAAACATTAAATCAATGGAAAGATCACATTTATTTGGATCTTTTATGGGTTCAGAGTTGACAGTAATACTAACCCTGGTGCTCAAGCTGTAATAGCTTCTAGGTACCACTAAACTAAACAATAATCAGAGCTGAGTTTCTGGCAAGTGTAACTTAACTTTGGAAAAATATTTGATAAACAGATCATAGAATATCTCAGGTTGGAAGGGACCCATAAGGATCATTGAGTCCAATTCCCTCCTAAAACTAAACCTTATGACCAGGTGAGGTTTGCTGCATTTTTATTCTGGAAGTTAATATAATATTTCTGTTAGGCATCAGTGGAAAAATTAAGTTCCTCATTAATCATTTGCCTCAGTCACTAAACTTTTCACTGGAAAGTTAATTCTCTGGTAATGAGTTGTGGTTTAACCCAGCTGGCAGCTGAAACAACCACACAGCTGTTCCTTCAGTTCCTCCCCTTCCACACACACACCCCACCTCGGGGTATGGGGGAGAGAATCAGTAAAGAAAAGTAAAACTCGTGGGTTGAGATAAAGACAATTTACTAGGACAGAAAAGGAAGAGAATAATAATAATGCTAAAAGAATATACAAGTGATACACAGCACAATTTCTAATCACCTGAAGCTGATGCTCAGCAATGCCCCCCCCCTCCTGGCTAGCTTCCTCAGTTATATACGAGGCATGACATTATATAGTAGGGAATGTCCTTTTGGCTAGTCTGGGTCAGCTGTCTTGGCTGTGTCCCCTTTCAACTTCTTGTGCAGCCCCAGCCTTCTCACTGGTGGGTGGTGTGAGAAGCACAAAAGGCCTTGACTCTGTGTAAGCACTGCTCAGCAATAATGAAAAAATCTTATCAACACTGTTTTCAGCACAGATCCAAAGCATAGCCCCATACTGGCTACTGTGAAGAAAATTAACTCTATCCCAACCAAAACCAGCACATAATGTCAGAGCCTCAACTGCTTCTGGGCACTGCTGTCTTCCAGATGGTGAAGACCCACAGAAGGCTTTTTAAACCAAGATCAGTGCTCAAGGTTGTTCTCAGAACTGAGCAGGTATTGAAGCAATAATGAGCTTCTGGTTGTTTTGTACTTTGACTGGAATTAAGGTCATGTAATATAAAATCAGATTGAAGATGGGACAGTCTATGCTTGAGAGCTTTGGAATGGATTAGTGGGGAGGTAGCTCCCAACAGTGCCTGATGCAGTAGTCCATCTAACGTTCTTGTCCATGTGGGATGGCTCATGTACAAGAAATGCGGTGTAATAATAACTTAGATACTGAAAGAGGGGAAAGCAGTTGTGCTTTATGCTCATCCCTTACAACTTAATTGGAATTTAGGAAGTGACTCAAGCTTAAAAAGCTCATTGATGATGAAGAATGAGCAAGCTTCTTCATTAACAAAGCAAAGATGTGCTTCTCTTTTTAATACTCTTTCATTTAATCTGCATTACCTATCCCCGTTTTATCTGAGTTGAATTACAACCCATTTGTACATTCCACTGTTCTTCTCAACCAGGGAATAGGAAAAGGAAGGGCTATAAACAATCTGAGTTAAATATGAAAGGAAGCACAGTTACATTTTGCCAGCGTTAATGTAGACTCTGATGTCATTATCTGACAGCTCTCCCAGTGGCCTAAAGCATACATTGAGCAGAAAAGTTATTTGTCAAACCCTCCATGACAGCTGTAATTACCTTAACCACTCACTGCCTCCATTTTTAAAGGAGAAGATGGGAATATGTGGATTTATGCAATAAAAGAAATAGTTGTTGTATGGAAATCAACTAGTAAGATAAGTACACACAGCGTAGTATGTCTTGTTTCTGGAATATATTAATAGTGAAAAAAGACAGCAAGACACTGAAAAGAAAGAAGAAAAAAATGTCTGCTACTACCTTTAGAATGACTTTGCCAATATGGTATCTCTGTATTTTTACTCTTACCAGCTTTCGATAGAATTGGTAAAATCTGACCATAGTGTCAATAAAATTTCTATACGCTATGCGTTTGCATGCATTTAGAAGTATTACAGTGACTATATATAAGTGTTCTGTAGTAAGAGGTCTCACTGCTATTTTTCTTTCCTGCCAGAAATCTAGTTGATATTACCTGATGAAATGCAAACCAGCTTGAGAAGTATGGTATTGCTCATACAGCAGCAGCAGCCATATTTACTAAACATTTGTTCTTACAGCCACAACAGTAGAATCCAAACCATCTAGAATTAAATAATTGTTTGAAAAAAAAGCTCTTTGGGTTACTGTATCTTGAATGTAATTTTACTATGACCTTTAAGATAACTTGGAAGGAAATGGGATTGTTCTCTGTTCAAGTCGCAGGCCATTTGTCAGAAGAGTTTACAGTGTTGGTATTTCAATTATCTAAAGTTTCAGTATTAAAAATCAAAACCTAACATTTCATTAGAGTAGTTCAGAGTCTTGTGCTCAGATTTGTGTACTTGCCCCTACCCTTATCAAGACCCAAACAGAAATACAGTGTCCAGAGGTTCTAGTAGCTGTGGGGGTGAGGACGGAGGATGACAATCTTTCCCCAAACTTTAGATGGTAATCTAGCCTATTCCATTCAGTTGCATTTTTTGGTCTTACCTCCTACTTGTGTCAGTCTCTTTACAAGTTCACTATTGTTCCCTCTTGATTTCTTTCTTGTTATGTTTCTGTTATTAGAAAGTCTGGATCTTGTGTATTCCGTACATAAATACTGGCAATTCTTAGTCT